ATCTACAGTCCAAGAGAATCAGAAAGAAATTTTAAAATCACACTAAGGTTCCTACATATATTGAGGAAAAAAGCATATCAGGCCATGATATCATAAATACTGTAAAACATTCAAAATATTTTGGGGTTTGGCAATCATATTTGTGGATTGTGCCTCTCAGTGTTTTCCTATGAAGGGTTTTCTTTTCCATTCAATATTTATATTTTATTGATAACTTAGTAATTTAAGCATTAAAATTTAAAGTGTTAATACACATTGTGAAGCCCAGTCTTTATGAGTATGCAAATAATCTTCAAAATACACTTCTAATGCTATATTTATTCACTTCAGTAGAAACAAATACCCTGCACTGCACATTTACTTTGAAACATGCTTCCAGTATATTCTCTGTGGCCATACACACTCTTTAAATAATCCTCTGTTTATATGTTGCTAAAACTTAGTTCTGGCTTTTGTTGGTAATAACTCTCTGTAAAGCCTGACCAAAAAATTTTTCATTGTTGCTTTAGCAGAGTTGTCTATATTAATAGATTGAATCTTTGTTGTGAACATGTCCAAGAGGTTACTTTATGTTTGCAATAGAAGTACTTATGAACGGTGTTTGTTCCCTTAAAACAGCTTCAGCATCTTACAAGCCAGAAGGGGAGAGATGACAGTACAGGCTATCTTTGCCTCAGCCTTTTTTTCCTTGTCAATGTTCCTGTATTTATCAAGAACTAGGTTGGCATTGGCATTAAGAATTTAAATTACTTCACTTCTTTTGCTTGTTAATGGTGAATTCACCAAACCAAGAAAAGAACCAGCACTTAGGACTGAGTTTAAAGGTTGCTCTGTGTGTTTTCATTCAACAGAAGACAGGCAGCTGATACGAATTGTTCTAATGAAGACAAATAGAGATGCTGGAAATTGTTGGACATCTCTGTTAGAAAATGAATATGCTGCTGATCCTTGGGTACAGGACCAGATGCAAAGGAAACTTACACTGGAGAGATTCCAAAGAGAAGTAAGTTAAAGCACATAATTACTCCTTATATATTTTGTTGGCACACAGAAATTATGGCCAGGAAAGCTGAGCAAATGCCATGGAATATATGCTTTAGTTCAATATCTGTAAAATGCTTACAAGGTTTTATCACTGTGCTTTGAAGAGATTATTCTGTCTGCACTCTGTCTGCAGGGTTTGTGGTAAGTTCAGGTGAGTTTGGAGGTCCTATTGCTGTTTTAGTAATTGCATCTTCCTAACAACTTTTCACTTGTTAGGCTACACACAACTTCTGTTATTATCTAGAATTATGACATAGCCATAGTTACAATAACATTTGAACATCAAACTCTACTGGATATGCTTGTTTATAAATGTAAGATGGAGTGCAGTAGTTAGCTGGAAAAGGTGTTCCTTGCACTTCTACTAAAATTGCCTAAATTGTTTTGCTATACCTTTGGCACACAACTATTCCTGTACACGTCTGCAGAGGTGTAAAACTACATTTTACGTACCAGCTGAATCAGCAGGCTATGTACTGCAGCAGAGAACAGCAGATTTATGAACCTTGTTATCCATCAGGGCACATACGTAGATTTTCAAAGGGCAGTTACAAAGCACACCAAAAGCCAGATCTTGTTCTTAAACTTTCCTTAATATTCTTTTCTGGAAGACCTGACTATTGCTAAGTCAAGAACAGCATTACAAAGTCACTTCAGCAGTAGGCAGCCAAACTATGACAATTCAGATTTTGTTGATGCATGTTCCAAGAATTTCAGTGCTGTGATAAATGTATGATTGTTAAATGTTCGTGTTACAATGGCAGAATATTAACAAAAAGCAAGTTAAGATTTTTGTTTGTGGGTTGTCTGGGATTTTTTAAAGCATTTTTATTCTAAATAATTTACTTACTAAACAATTTTTAATTTTACTTCAATCAGAACCCTGGGTTTGACTTCAGTGGGGCAGAAATTTCTGGAAACTACAGCAAAGGAGGACCAGACTTTTCTAGTCTCGAAAAGTGAACTTTTTATATGTGACCCTTTAGACAAATTACATGTTACAGTTAAGGACTGGAATCATGTAACTGTTGAAGACTTCAGTGATCTCTTCAATGGATTGTTGTCAAAAGTAATTACTTCAGTGAAGAGAAAGAAGATCTTTTCCAGCAGAATGAAGACAAACTGTTACCAGCTGATTTATAAGCTGTGATAACTTTATGATACTGAGGCACAAACTAAAGAGAAAGTTGTACATAAAAAAAGTAATATCTTTAAGCAGAATGTTTGGTTTGAGTGTGTCTTTTTTCTTTTTAGAAACACCATAGTAAATGAATCAGTTATAAATCTACCATGTGTCTTAATGCAAGGATATCTTCTTATTCTTGCTTATCCACACTTAGGAAGGAATCTCCCCATGCACCAGGCTGGGGCTGATCTGTAGAGAGCAGCTCTGTGGAGAAGGACCTTGGGGTCCTGGTGGACAATGAGCTGTCCCTGAGCCAGCAGTGCCCTGGGGGACAAGAAGGCCAATTATATCCTGAGATTAATCAGGAAGAACATTGCCAGAAGGTCAGGGAGGTGATCCTGCCCCTCTGCTCAGCCCAGATCTGGAGTGCTGTGTCCAGTTGGGCTGCTCAAGACAGGAGGGACATGGAGCTCCTGGAGCGAGTCCAGCAGAGGCTGTGGAAGGGATTGAAGGACAGCCCTACAAGGAAAGGCTTTGGGAGCTGGGGCTGTTGAGCCTCCAGAGGAGATACAGCTGAGAGGGGACCTCATCCCTGTCTGCAGGGAGGGCTCACAGCAGGGATCAGACCCTGCTCCATGGTGCCCAGCAACACAAGAGGCAATGGGTAGAAACCAACCAACCTTTGTTCTCTATTGGATGCAGGAGGGAACTCAGTACCCAGAGATGAGGAGGAGGAAGTGCTTAACACCTTCTTTGCTGCAGTCTTTAGTGGAAAGATGCCTTGTTCTCAGGACAACTGTCCTCCTGGGTTGGTAGATGGAGTCAGGGAGCAAAATAGTCCCCGTTACCCAGGAGGAGGCAGTCAGAGAGCTGCTGAGCTGCTTGGATGTTCATACATCCATGGGGCCAGATGGGATCTACCCCAGGGTGATGAGGGAGCTGGCAGGTGAGCTTGCCAAGCCACTTTCCATCATCTACCAGCAGTCCTGGCTCACTGGTGAAGTTCCAGATGACTGGAAGCTGGCCAATGTGACACCCACTCACAACAAAGGTGGGAAGGAGGATCCTGGTACTTACAGGCCAGTTAGCCTGACCTCAGTACCCAGTAAGGTCATGGAACAGTTCATACTGAGTGTCATCACCCAGCACTTACAGGATGGCCAGGGTATCAGACCCAGTCAGGGTTTAGGAGGGGTAGGTTGTGTTTGACCAACCTGATCTCCTTTTATGACCAGGTGACCCTCCTGGTGGATGCAGGAAAGGCTGTGGATGTTGTGTACCTGGACTTCAGCAAGGCCTTTGACACTGTGTCCCACAGCACACTCCTGCAAAAGCTGCAGCCCAGGGCTGGGACAGGAGCACTCTGTGCTGGGTTCAGAACTGGCTGGATGGCTGGCCCAGAGAGGGGCGGTGAACAGTGCTGCATCCAGCTGGCAGCCGGGCACAGGGGTGTCACTCAGGGCTCTGTGCTGGGGCCAGCTCTGTTCAATATCTTCATTGATGACATGGATGACAGGATTGAGTCTTTCATTAGTAAATCTGCAGACACTAAGGTGGGAGCATGTGTTGATCTGTTGGAAGGTAGAATGGCTCTGCAGAGAGACCTGGAACGGTTGGATGGGTGGGCAGAGTCTAACAGGATGAAATTTAATAAATCCAAATGCTAACTCCTGCATTTTGGCCACAATAACCCCCTGCAGCATTATAGGCTGGGGACAGAGTGACTGGACAGTGCCCAGGCAGAAAGGGACCTGGGGGTGCTGGTCAACTGCTGACTGAACATGAGCCAGCAGTGTGCCCTGGTGGCCAAGAGGGCCAAGGGCTCCTGACCTGGATCAGGAACGGTGTGGCCAGCAGGAGCAGGGAGGTCATTCTCCCCCTATACTTGGCACTGGTGAGGTCACACCTTGAGTGCTGTGTCCAGTTCTGGGCCCTCAGTTTAGGAAGGATGTTGAGGGGCTCAAGCACATCCAGAGGAGCCAATAAGGTGGGTGAGGGGCTTGGAACACAAACTCTGAGAGGAACAACTGTGGGAGCTGGGGCTATTTAGCCTAGAGAAAAGGAGACTCAGAGGTGACCTTATCTCTCCCTACAACTTCCTGAAAGATAGTCAGGTGGGGGTTGGTCTCTTTTTCCAGGAAGCAACTGACAGAATGAGAGAACATGGTCTTAAGCTGTACCAAAGGAAATATAGGTTGGATATTAGGAAAAAGTTATTTATGGAAAGAGTGATGAAGTACTGAAATGGCCGGCCCGGGGAGTAGGTGGAGTCACCATCCTTGGATGTGTTTTAAAAAGACTGGATGTGACACTCAATGCCATGGTTTAGTTGAGGTGTGAGGGCAGGGGTTAGACTCGATGATCTTGAAGGTCTCTTCCAACCTAGTGATTCTGTGATGCCCACGAAGTTCCACCTGGACATGAGGAACAAATTCTTTCCTGTGCAGCAATTGTGCACAGAACAGGTTTCCCTAAGATGGTATGGAGTTAATCAAGAAATGTCTGGATGAAATCCAGTGTCATGTGCTCTGGGATGACCCTGCTCGAGCAAGGAGGTGGGACCAGCTGATCCCACCCATGGTCACTTCCAACCTGACCCATTCTGTGATTCACTGCTGAAGAACAGATTCTGTAAGATATTTACCATTTTCTCATGTGGTTCCTCCCACGCAGCCTCAACCTCTTATAAAAATTGCAGGGGAAAAATCTGCATTATGTCTTACCTCCTGCCTGAAAGTTTTTCTCCAGGTACTGTTCAGGTATAAGTCACATTTATAGGCTTCCTACTAGTATGTTTCATAACATACATTACAGGAAAAAAGCTACTTAGTTAAGCACATTTCAATGTTTAATTTAAAGGTACATATCTTGAGACAGGACAATTATAATTGCACACTGCATCCCCTCCCAGTAGGCTGACCACACCTTTGAGTCGCTTTGCACAGGTCAGCACAATGCCCAGGCAGCAGTGACAGGTGTGATAGCCAGTTACATGTTTTGCAGTGCAATCACTCCCATGAGCTCATGAGATTTGATTTGTCCAGTAGAGAGCTTTGGTATGGAGTCTTCTTTGAAAGCTGTAACTAGTTTGAGATATGCAAAGAATGGTTTCTAACTCAGCCGGTACCATTACAGGGAAGGGTTGGCTGGCCAACATCTCATCCCACACTCTGATCTCTCTTTCTCCACTCCATCAGTCCATATAACAATCAGGTTTAACAGCCTGTTGCCAACAGCCTCTGTCCCACAGTGATGCAGAATCCAAGAGGACATTAGCAACACTCTCCCAGAACCTCTTTTCATCTAACATACAATAATACATTCTTATTATTCACTTCCTTGGTAGCACTAGAATGCCTCAAATATTGACCTGGTCTTCAGAACAAACAGCTGTGTTTTACAAAGCTTACCATTAAAGAGATCAGAGTTGAAGCAATCTTCAATGTTTCTCATCTGGATTACTCCTACACAGAGGCCACGGGGACGGGGTGGGGGGGGGGAACTAGCCCTGCTCCTACTGTACCTGTAACAATGTGCCTGTTCAGTATCAGCATTTACCTCTAGTACAGCAAACCTTTGGAAAACTAATGTCAGATTTAGGGCATGAAAGGGTTACATGTGACCCAGTTCTTTCCCTTAGTCCTTCATTAGGTATCACCAAGTTTTTACACTCAGTGAGAGTGGCATCAGCAAACTAACAGCTCTTACAAAATACTGCAGTTACTGATGCTGTGCTAGTGACTGTCTTTCCTAAAGGAACACAGTAAAGTTGCTCTTTTCTCCTGCTCTACCTACTCGACATGTTCAGTGGGTATCACAGGCTGCTGTTTAATGTGTCTGTGGTAGGAAGCCAGTGCCCATCCTGGCAGGAACACGTGGACACAAGGTACTGCCCAAATAGCACACCAGGTGAGTTGGCAGGCATTTGCTGTCATCAATATTGAGTTGGATTAGTCTTTCTTTTCTTAACACACTGCAGCACTGCACTATTACACATCAGATTTTCCTGGTATTGCATAATCCTCAGAAAGAGAACCAGGTTTTAAAAATTAATACCAAATTCAGCACCCGCAGTTACTGTAAACCAAGGTTAGATTACACAAGCTGCTCTACAAACTCTAAGGTGTTAAAATTCCTTGTATTGGGATTGTGTTATTCCACTGACTAGTGAACAGTCTACCAAGTAAGACTGAAAACTGACACCACGTACTTCTGAATTCATCATGAAAAGAACTGGTATGTGCTGGAAGGATCTTTAGTCTGACATGTTACATGTTCTTTCCATGAGTTGAGCTCTTCATTATTAAGATCATGGTTCAGACTGTTTCTCAAATATCTGTGTGTCTGTTGACAAGGTCACAGGATGGTCTTCCCATTTTATTGCACTCCTGTAAAAAAAACCAAACAAACAGTCAACTCAAGTGCTTTCTACAAGAGCCAAACACAGCATGAGATCTTAATACAGCAAGACAACAGCAAGATGGCTGTTATAGAAAAAGGTGTAGCATCTGGAAGTACAATCTAGGTAAGGAAGTTTATAATTTTTACAGAGTAAAACAACAGTAACAGGAATAACTGAATTACAGATTTTAGCCTTCACTAAGTAGTTATACAAGTAGAACTGTAAAAAACTGTCTGTTGTAAGTGGCACAATTGTTGTAAGTAAACAATTACAAGAAACTCATTCTAACAAGCTGATTTTCTTTTTGGGATAGGAGCAAAGCAAAGGTATTTTTCCCCTTTTCCAGGCTTTACTTCACATTTTAGTGTGAATGTGGTCCCAATGTCTGCAGAACATTTCTGCTACCATGACGCACATCAGTTCTTCCTTCAGTGTTCACACATTAATCAGGTTGTCACTTCTTTAGGTCCAGCACTGGTTTAAGCATGAACACGGAAACAGGCTGACTACGCTTGTTACATGATTCCAGGAGGTAACCTGTAAGGACCCTGGAGGTAGTTAACAGCTAATTTTACTTCTACATTATCAGAACTTGATTTTACAAGGACTTACCTATTATGAGGTGGTCTCTGGAATGGTAGGAAGGTGTGTTATTCTGTAGTAGCTATGTTTAAGCTGCCGAGCTGTACGTCCAGACACAATCCATTTTAATTTCTGCACATTTGGTTTGGAACACTTGCTTGAGGAATATTCCGTAAGGCACTTCAACACTAGCTCCTTCCAGAAGGTCAATTCTCTGTTGCTTATCTACATAACAAGACATAATGTCCTATGTTAACAGCTAGCTAAATCTTGACTTTGTACAAGTACTTTCAGCTTCTTCAACAAGATAGGCAGCCAAATATCCCAGGCCAAATGAAAAAAAGAACCCAACAAAACATCACAAGAAAGCCACAATATGCCAAGGCACCTGTTACTTCCCCACTGTGTAGACCTTTCCATGCATTTTTCTTACACCCTCCCCTGAAATTTTATCTGCACATACCTTGGAATGTAACTGTAGAAATTCCAATGCCTCCGTCACCTCCAACAGTTTTTGTTCTTCTATCTCTAGTGCCAAAATAGACAGTGCCAAGACAGAAGGCTGGAGAGAGAGAAGATGTTTTTAAACATTTCTTTGCTAAGTTTCAGCAGTTTAATTTTCTTTGAACTTTTAAGATGTTTACCTTGGCTTTAGAAAACATGATTCTGCAGTGACAGGCCTTAAGCTGGGTCTCAAGCCTCTCAAAATTAAGGTATTTTCTCCTGTAATAAAAACAGATGAGTGTATCTAGAGGAATGCAAGCTTGATCAAGGCAGCATCACTCTGGGAACTCAGAGAAGCAGCAAGAATGTTCATTATCTAAACAAAGGCCTCATTTGTCCCAGAACTTCTGGGGTTACATTCAAACAGGTGTTCAGTTTTGGCAGTCCCAATGCCAAAAATAAATCTTGTGTTACACTGGGCAGAGCTGCATTACAAAAGCAGGCTTAACAAGGAATTTCAGTGCTTGGTAGCAAAAGGAATCTTTTTTTAAACCAGATTTTGCAATCTTTACAATGAGGCAATACTTCACTGCAGCATAAGCAGAGATTTCTTATACCATCATAACTGAGCAAGTTTGGTTTTCAGCTCAGAGAGCAATACTCCATTTATGCAAACAATATTCAAAATCACAATAATATTAAATCACAGATGCTCACATTTATGATAATTATGAGTAGGGGGAAAAGTCTGTGGAATTTTTAAAGTATAGAAACGCCAATTACTCAAGCAATTTCCCTGCTTATTTTTCTACATTCTACATATTTTGGTCTTAGGCAGTTATAGCAAAATCAAGATTAGTCATAGTACCTTTCACAGCTTAAATTCTCATGAATGAATGAATGATAGAGCTGTAGAAATTGGAAGGCTGTTACAGCTTTGACTTTCCAACACAATTTCTCCAGTATGATTTTCTCCATTCTCATCATATCAGAAACAGTGAACCTATACTGGCTTATTCGAATTAAGTCAGTGGCTAAGGGCACATTTCTCTCTTCTTCTGATGCCTTCACAGCCAAGTAGAAGCAGCTGAGTCCAACACAGCCCAAGTGTTTAGGCTGTACCTAAAGAAAAGTGAATTGTTATTTTTAAAGAAGGTCTCTGATCAGCTATTACAACATGCAAGTTTCAAACTGTAGGCACCAATCTGTTTAATAAAAAAATTATGGGGGATGAGGGGTTGTTTTGTTTTTTGGAGACTGAAAACTAAGTCTTTTATTGTACACAGTTATGCACCATAAAATGAATCTCATTCATCTAAAAAGCAAGACTGCAGAGCAATTTTGATTGAGGTAGAACTGACTTATTAATGAAGTCCTAAAATAGTCTAAGAGGAAGCTTTTAGGACTTAAAGTGTTGTACATATTAGGGGTGATAGTAAAAATTTGGGGGTTTCTAACTCTAAGTATATACACACACACACATATATATACATATATATATATAAATGGTCTTATTTTATTCCATAGACAATGTAGTCCTGATTTTTACTGCTTAATCTGGATTCACAAGTCTTTGAAACCATCATTTTCCCATCCATTCCATCAAGCTTTCTCATTTTTGTTTGAACACACAAGCAAAACAAGCTTTTGTTCTTGTCCAAAGTGTACAGTGGTAATCCTGTCTTATTAGACAATTTAAAACAACTCAGGTCAGCAAGTCACATCTGCACGGGAAAAGGCAGTGCTAAATAATGTTTGACCAGATTTTAAGTCTTCAGCAGCATCTTGATATACACAAGGCTAACTGACAGGTTGAAAAGGCAGTTAAATAGGAAGTAGTTTAACTTTTTTTGTATCTATGCAGCAGGACAGGCAGTCTATCTTGGTCTAAGCCATTAACACGTCCTGTTTCCCAGCCCATGGACATCCTTGAGTTTTTCATTCTCCAGAGGAAACAGCTTTCTGAACAATACCAAAATCTGAACGGAGAACGCAATTTTTTTAGCTCTGCACAACCAAGAATTTCTGGAAGGAGCTTAACCTTTATCTAAACCCAAGATATTCTAGCTTCGAACAGGAACCAGGCAGAGAGCTTATCCTTTAACAAGCCTTACCTTCATTTTTGACAAGAATCTATCTAAGAAATTCACAGCTAGAGAGAACGTCTCAGTGTGGAAGCCGAAGAACTGAGTTAAGCTGAGGAGATCTTTCACTTCGAAGTCTCGCAGCCGTGCGGTCATTCGCAGGCCATTGTCGTGGGCAGCCTCGAGCAGCCGGAGGCCGGCGGCCCGGGGCTGAGCCCGCAGCTCCTGCTCCAGCATCGCGGGCAGCTCGAGCACCGGGTCCGGAGCCCCGCCGCTCGCCAGGGTATCGATCATCTGCCACGAGAAACAGCGCCGGCCAGTAAACAGCTGAACCGCGGCAAACTCACCAAAACCTCTCAAACTCTACGGCCCAGACGCAGCAGCCCGGGCACACGCACGGAGCGCCCCGGGGCGCCCGCGGCCCAGCAGCGTGAGGGGCACGGCGGGGCCGCGCCTCCCGGGGCATGCCCGGGCCTGCCCCTCGCTGCCGCGGGGCTCTGCCGGCGGACGGGCGAGCTGCGCGCTCCGCCGGGGGATGCAGGGACAGAAGGACAGAAGGACACAGGGACAGAGGGACACCGCCCACCCCACGGAAGGGACGGGAGGGGACAGGACGGACACGGCACGGGGACGCCAAACGTGCAACCGGCGGGACGGGAGCCGGCCGCGCGCCCTTACCTTGTCTGTGCGGCCCCGCTCCCTGCCCGGGAGGGGAGAGGAGGGGCCGGGCGGGCCGGAGTGTCCGGAGCGGGGCCGGGCGGTCGGGGCCGGGGCTGGGCTCCGTCCGGCCCCGCGGCACCGGCGCGCACCCCGACCCCGCGAGCCGCCGCCGCCCCGCCCGGACCACACCTTCAGTACTGTGTCCAGTTCTGGGCCCCTCAGTTTAGGAAGGTGTCGCCATGATATTTTATGAAAAATCCTTTGCTAGGATTTTTCTTCCATTCTAGCTGAGAAACGTCAGAAAAGAAATGTAAACAATTAACTATCTGATGGCTGTGGAATGTGGTCTGGACATTGTTTACCAACAGGTGCATCTTTGTTTGGTTCATGTGAGTTGTTTCTACTTAATAACCAATTAAAGATACAGCTGCATTGGACTCTGAGAGTCATGAGCTTTTGTTATTCATTCCTTCCTTTTCTTTCTAGCCTTCTGAAGGATCTTTTCTCTCTATTCTTTTTAGTATAGTTTTAGTATGGCATTTTAATATAATATAATATCATAATATAATAAATCAGCCTTCTGAAACATGGAGTCAAGATTCTTGTCTCTTCACTCATCCTGGCACCCTTGAACACAACCATAGGAAGGATGTTGAGACGCTTGGGTGTGTCCAGAGGAGGCAAGGAGGCTGGTGAGGGGCTGGGAACACAAGCCCTGTGAGGAACGTTTGAAGGAACTGGGGTTGTTTAACCGGGAGAAGAGGAGGCTTAGATGTGACCTTATTGCTCTCTACAACTTCCTGAAGGGAGGTTGTAGACAGGTGGGGTCGGTCTCTTTCGCCGGGCAGCAACTGACAGAACAAGAGGACACAGTCTCAAGCTACATCAGGGAAGGTATAGGTTGGATATTAAGAAAAAAATTTTCACCGAAATAATCATAAAGTACTGGAATGCTCTTCCCAGGGAGGTGGTAGAATCACCATCTCTGGATGAGGTTGAAAAAAGACTGGACATGGCACTTGGTGAGGTGTTAGGGCATAGGTTGGACTCAGTGACTTTAGAGGTCACTTTCAACCTCATTATTTTGTGATTCTGTGATTCTCCCTTGACTGCAAAAATAATGTCCAAACCCCTGTTTTGGACAGGGATAATGGCAGTCCATTAGCTCTTTTTTCTCTACTACTGCACTGGAATTATATCTAATCTATATGCTAGTCTCCTGCCTGTATCTGAGTTGTATGCTTGCTTATGTGAGCTCTTTGAGCTATTTTTGCAATGTATTGATTTTAAAAATAATCTTTTACCCCAAAAGTATTTATATTGACATAATTCAGGAAAATCCTTTGCTGTTTCACACTCCTTTCCCCCAGCCTTTGTTAAGAGCATCAGCAAGCATTATGACTATGACTGGTGTGTAGTTAGCTTCCCTAGAAGAAGAGGGTGTGGATGTGGTATGAAATCATGGATCTGGAGTGTAAACATAAAAACTAGCAGCAGTCCTGTACTCTTCATGGTTATATCTTCTCCACCCATAATTTTCAGCCAGGTATTTTCTCCCATTTCGAGAAGATTCAGGACTGCTTTTTTAGGAAGAGTCATGTCAGCTGGATTTGGAACACAGGGTAATTTGTTGAACAGACAGGGAAAGTTGAGACTGGGCACTTGTGATGATTAATAGGCCTGCAAAAGTTGTGCGTGTTTTTGTTAATCACCCCAGGAGGAGCAGCCTAGGGAAAGTGTCAGTTTCCTTCAGAGGCAACTCTTAGAAATACTTGAGTCATTACAAGACAGTACAAAGTCATGCTTCATGTTTCAATATTTTAATTTTTTTTGCTTATGGACTGAAAGTTTCCAGTGGTTGTGTGGGTGCTGCACATTTGCTTTAGGCTTACTGATAAAGGGATCATTGTTCCTGACTACTCTGGAATAACAGTTGGTGAGCCCTCTAAGCTGAGACTTGGCATGATGGAAATACAGGGTTTGTCTTTTTTTGTTGAGAAAAAAGAATTAAGAAGTCAATCACTTGCACTTGGAAGCTTTTTTTTTTTCTTTTAAAAAGGTCAACTTTTCGATAGATCCCAAAGGAATGCAACTGAAACACTAACTGAGAGCTCAGGAGCTCTCAATGGTTGAAAACAGTTTGCTAAAAGCAGTACTGGTTGTCTTTGGCACTGTGCTTGGCTGAAGAGCCCGAAGAGATGGCATGAGCAAGTAATTTTCATTTGATGGATCATGTAGGACTTGAAGATAAGCAAAAATACACAGAAAAGATTGTTGGGCAAAAAGAAAAAGAGGCTTGAAGACGTTATTCCTGCCACAGCCTCCAGAAGCAGGGTGACACCTGGTCATGGGAATTTGCCTCGTCTGGGTTTGTGTCTTTTTAAAGAAGAAATATGTTGTCCTATTATGTTTGTCTTACTTTCAAGAAAAGAGGTTCTGCTAATTCCTAATGTGATTAACCAAATGAGTTAAGTAGTTCAGGTAGTAATTTAAACAACCAAGGGTAAATATCTTTTTCTAAACCATAGGTTTACAGTAGAGCAGTTTGCAATCAGTCAGTATCCACACCGTTGTGCCAGCTCTGTGGTTAGAGCTCATCTCGGAATATGGAGTATCAGGATATTTCAGTTCATGTGCAGAACTACATTCTTCTTTTCAAAAGCTGTTTCAGAAGAAAAATGGACTGGTGTTCAGGAAGGCAGAGCTGTGATTAAAGGACAGGCTGCTTCCCTGATGGCCCCTTTTGGTTTTAGTGGAGATCTTCAGATAACCTAATGAAGTGAATTTTGTTCTTGCAGGGGGAAACCATAGCAACCTGCCACTTTAGAATGCAGGGTATATAATCTATCTGTCCTTCAGATAGTATTTTGCAGTCCAGAAATAGTCACAGTCTCCTAATGTGTGAATGTAAAATGTCAGACAAATGTAGCTGGAGTGACAGTGTTGTCTCTGAGGGAAACATGAGCCCTGTTGTGCTGCTTGTCTGGAGCTGCACATTTGAAAAGCAGGTCCCAGAGGAGGGCAAAGAAAGTCTATTTTTTAGTTTTTAATATATGGATGAGAGAGGTGCTGTGAAATTTGGTAATTGAAAGAGATGCTGCAGTCCCCCCAGTGCTACTCTCACCTTGCCTCTAACCTGTACGTGCCTCTACTTATTTTTGTCATAGTTTTCTTAAATTATGGTATATAGAGTTCCAAGTTTTTTGGTCAGTGGTCTCTATTTTGTGGAGGCTCAAAGAGTGCTGGGACTCAGTAATCCTGTAGTGGGACTAAGTGCCCTGCAACCTGCTCACAGCTGGCCAAAGCTGCTGGCTGTTTGCTGAAAACATTCCTTGTTGCCTAAATAAATAAATGCTTGTGAGCAGCCTCACTGGCTTCTGCTTGTGTCACCCTCCCACTACAAGATCTGAAAAAGCTGAGACAAGTAATTTCTGCAGAAACCAGCACTGATTACTGAACCGTTAAAATTCAGCTTGTGAGCCTCAGAATTTGCTGCCAGTTTTAGGGACTGGGCTACCAGTCTGAGGAGGGATGACTTATCTTTTTTTTTTTTTTTTTTTTTTTTTTTTTTTTTTTTTTTGTGAAAAGGGCCAGATGAGTAGTTCATTGAAGGTATAGATAGGCAAATATTTGGTAATACTGCTAAGGATTGATTTAGGCTAAACAGCTAACTAAATATTTTCCTTAAAAATATTATCATGACCCCTGCTTCTGTAGGGAGTGTTTAAAAATCAACTTAAATGGCACAGAATATATTAATATATTCTTTATGAATATATGTTCTGTGGAATAGAAGCATTTCAAGTAGTTTTTTTACTATTAATCAAACGTTAACAGCCAAAATTATTGTTTAAAATGCTAAATTATTTTAATAGGGCTGTGATTTACTTAAGAGGAAAGCAAAATAATGCTGGTTGGTTGGTTGGGTTGTTTCTGTTTCTGTGTCATAGTGGGTCAAGGCTGTGTGATCTTTAAACTGATCTGGCTCCTTATTGTTTGTGACACATCAATTTAGTTTAAATTATGGTTAATCAATTTTTTTTTTTTGTCACGACTCCATTTCCTTGCCTATTTTGGAAATCATACCTGTTCAATAGCAGTTCTTGTCCTTCTTCCCCCTTTAGGTTGGTTTTTCATCACCCTTGAGTAGTTTTGCTTTTATGAATAACAGTGGAGCACATTTAAGCTATTCCCATTGTCACTACTTTTTGTTCTGTTACCACTTTCTATTTGATCTGAATCCCAGTTGTTTCCAGCTTTTGATTTGTTTGCACTGCATATTTGGTGTTTGCATTTGTATGTAGATGGATTCAGCACTGAAATCACTTGTTACCACTCGTGTGGAAGCAAATGCTGTGGGTTTCTTGGTTTGGTGATTTGTTTTGTTTGTTTGCCCAGATGTGCTAGTAGGTTTTTTCTCCTTGTCTTGCTAGGGGATCTAAAAGGAATCCCTTCGTTGAGAGAGGACACTTAAACTTGAAGGAAAATGTAAGTGACAGTATGTATTCTCAGATCTGTAGTACCAAAACTAATGATACAAACAATGATGTGGAAAATTAAAATCTTTCCTGGTAGAATGGGAGATTCAGCCTTCTCCCGGATGAGGGCAGTGGTGGCTCACAGATAGCACAGTCCCTGCTCATGTTTAATGTAACACTCATTACAGACTCTGAGATTTGCTGTATTTATATTAGGAGATTCAGCGAATGTGTTGTGCAATTACTTTTATAAATTCAGGGCTGAGAAATACGAGAAAAGAATGTGAAGGGAGATATTTTTATATAGAGGACTTTTAACTTAACCTCCCCCTAGAAGGATTTTTGAGTTTTGAAGAAAATCAGGACAACTTGCTGAAGGGAATAAGATGCACTCACTTGACAAATATAGTTTGCAAATCTGTATCTGAAGTTTTCTAGATTTTCAAATGATCAAGTTTACAATAATGAAGAGTAATTTTTTTCTGAAGGATTATTTTCCATACACAGTGCTTCATTTTACCAGTTAGCTCAATACCCAGCAAATCTATTTACATGCACTTAAATCTTGTACTTTTAATTGCTACATCCTCATGTGGCTGCTTTGCAGCAGCAGTTGTGGAAGTTTTAGATGAGTAATTTCTCCTCTCTTTGCCTTAACATAAGACCCATCATGCTTTTTTTAATTGGCTT